TTAGTGCATAACAATAAACATTTTGAGAAAATAGCACTTTGGGCACGGCATGGAGTGAGCAAAGGCACAGAGGCAGGACATAGCAGGAGCAGAACATCAGGTGGCGAGGCGTCTGGTGGGAAGCTGGGCGGGTGGCAGCGAGTCCTGGGATGTCAGCCTGTCGCCCCAGAAAGGCCTGCACTGCGGAAAAGACCTGTGTGGACATGTGATTGGATGACTGGTCTCTACAGGCATTCAGCTCCAGCGGTGAAGGTAGCAGTGGGGCAATGACATTTCCCATAGTTAACCTTTGAATACTTTAAAAATAATTACTTGTAAGAACTCATGTGTTCTTGGATCAAAATAGATAACACAACGTTGTGTCCTTTATGAGGAAGTAAGTGCTGTAATAAACCAATCTTTATAGACTGTTCTATAACCAAACGAGAAAAGCAATGAATTAGAGATTAGCTAACATTTTAAAAAATGAAAGATACAGATATAATTTCATATATATATATTTATATATATTTATTTAAATTATAATGGAAGATGTGTAAGGTAGACCAGCAGTCAGTGAGTAGATGAGAAGGTCCATGGTCTCCTGCCTGTGTTCCTGCATCAGATGACCTCACCTACAACTGTCTGTCATTCTCAGGTATGGATTGCCGCTTCCTAAGAGCATATTACTGCATAAAAATAAGAGCAACGAAATAAATATTGCTAGTATTTTTCTTAACTACATTTATGTTTTTTAAGCGAGGAAGGTGCATACTCTTTTATTTTTAATTTTATTTATTGCTTGATTTTAGTGAGACAGAGGAAGGAAGAGAGAAAAACATCAATTTGTTGTTCTATTTATTGATGCATTCATTTGGTTCTTGTGCCCTTACCAGGGATCAAACCCACAACCTTGACATATCTGGACAACACTTTAATCAAGTGAGCTGCCTGGCCAAGGCTATCTTACCTAATAAAAGAGAAACATGCAAATTAACCATCACCCGCTACGTCCACCAGCCAATCAGGAATGATATACAATTCAACCCAACAAAGATTGTGGTTAATATGCATACACAGACGCTGACCGACTGGGTGGAGGGGGGAGAGGAGAGGCATTCGCCCCATCCTCGGTCTCTCAGGGCCTCTGGGCAGCATGAGAAGGCGGGGCTGGAGCAGAAAGAGGTGGCTCTGTGCCGGAGTGGAAAGGTGGTGCCGGCAGCCAGGGAAAGGAAGGCCCATTCTAGCGCGAATTTTCGTGCATCGGGCTTCTAGTGTTAAATAGATTTAAACAAGAAATACCATCAAAATTTTCTTTAGAACCCTTGTATGCCTCTCACAGGACTCCCATGCATTATCAAAAATTTGAGAAAGACATGGCCACACAGCCGGATTTGCATTCCAGATTCACCATTGACAAGCTGCTTTATCTTTGCCAAAATTTTCTTCTAAAATATCAGAGTTTTGAGGAAAATTCAATTAGATAATGTGTTAAGACATATGATACTTAGTGTGGAGTTATCTCATACATGTGTTTTCTTGTGGAAATTATTCATTATTATCAGTTTCACCTGCTGGTAGTGGATGGAAACGCGCCTCATTATTGTTTTAAACGTGTCCCCTAAGCAAAGGCAGCCGTTTCCTCTAAGATGCACCTGAAGAAAGAAGCTCCATGCTGTAAAACACGAATGCATTAGGCTAATTGAAAGGTGGTATATTTGTATTCCGTGGTTTGGGTTGACCTTAGAACCTAACATCTGTCTTAGGAGTCAGCTAGCCTTGAACAAATGTTTACCCAAATAGTGGTACCTTGCAACTTCTCATTTAATGTATTTGCTGTAACACAGCTGTCTCTATGTTTAAATGCTTCTTAATATCTTTTATAGAATATAGAGTTCTCATTATTCTTCTTTGGAACAGTGGAAATGTAATACAGTTAACCTTTTAACAACACAGTTGAGAATCTGCATAATTTGACTCCCTCAAAACTTTACTATTATAGCATAGCCTACTGCTGACTGGAAGCCTTACCAATAACATGAACAGTCGATTAACACATCTTTTGTATGTAAAGGTATTATACACTGTATTCTAACAATAAAGTAAAGCTATAGAAAAAAATTATTAAGAAAATCAAAGGAGGAAATATATTATTCTTTAGACATATTTTTCTCTGTATTTATTGAAAATAATCCATGTCTAACTGAACCTGTGCAATTCAAACCCATGATCAGGAATCAAATGTACTTCATTTATTACTGGTGGTGTTACTGATTGAGCTCAAGTAATTCTAAGACAGACTGGTGTAATGAATTTCAAGCCTGTTTATGATTAAAATACTAATAACTATTCTTCAATTCAGGCTTTGTAAGTCTACACACGCGCGCGCGCGCGCACACACACACACACACACACACACACACACCACTGTTATGTAACACGGTTATTATTTAGACCAGTAGCTTCTCTAATCCACTTAACCTGCAGAGTTTTTCCTCATACTGATTCTTACTGTTCTGGCCTGTAGACTAGTTGGGTCTTTGGCTCTCTGGGGCACCAGGACTAGGAATTGTTCTTGAAGCCTCGCAATTTTCAAATAGAGTCTAAACAAGTTTTCTGACTTATCATTTGATGTTTTGAATCACAGAGAAACTTGGATAATTGAAGGGAATAAATGTAGTATTTTTATCTTGTTCTTATTATTATATCAAGGAATGAGATAAAAATGAAATTTTAAAATGATCTTCCTTTTAGGAGGGGTGCCCTAAGTTTCTACAATACCTTTTGGTAGCAAATATTTATTTTTAATTTAACATTTTTTTAATTGCAGTGTACATTCAATATTATTTTGTATTAGTTTCAGGTGTACAGTACAGTGGTTAGACAATCATATACTTTTTAGTGTTCCCCTGATATTTCCAGTACCCAATTGGCACCGTACATAGTTATTACAATGTTGTTGACTATATTTCCTAAGCTGTAATTTACAGCCCCATATTTTATACCCCCAATCTACTTCTCAATCCCTTTGCCTTGTTAACCCAGTCTCCCAGCCCTCCTCCCCTCTGGCGACCATTACTGTTTTTAGTATCTATGAGTATGTTTCTGCTTTGTTTGTTCCTTTATACTGTTCATTAGATTCCACTATAAGTGAAGTTCTGTGGTATTTGTCTTTCTCTGACTGGTTTATTTCACTTAGCATATACCTTCTAGGTCCATCCATGCTGTCATAACTAGTAAGATTTCATTCTTTTTTATGCCGAGTAATAGGCTTTGGTATATATATACCACAGCATTTTTATCCACTCATGCATTGATGGGCATTTGGGTTGCTTCCATAGCTTGGCTGCTGTAAATAATGCTGCAACCCTGGCTGGTGTGGCTCAGTGGATAGAGCATCGGCCTGCAGACTAAAGGGTCCCAGGCTTGATTCCAGTGCAAGGCACATGCCCAGACTGCTCACCCAAAAGAAGGGGCCGCAGAGAGGAAAGTGTAGAGCAGTGTGATGTGTTTTAAGTTCAGTTTCACTTAAATTCATTCTATTCACATTGATTGCATATCAGCAGAGGAAAGCTTTAAGAATTAAGGACAAGTAGATTCAATTGCAGAAGCTTATGAGTAGCTAGATTCATTAAAAAAGATAAGCAAGTAAATACTTTAAACTTCCACTGACCTTATTAAAATATATTTAAAATATTCTTTTTGAGCCATTCTTATAAATTAGTCATCATCTCGCAAACAATTTGACACAATTAAAAGAGCTGTGGTCTATAAAGTAGGAGACTGGGAGGTCCTTCCCAGGGAGGTCAAATGGCATGCTAACATCCTCTGGGCGAGGAAGCCGTGTGTGTGAGGGTTGATTCCGATGATCTAACTTTAAAAGACTTCGATGAGTCTGTACTCGAATTCAGAAACCACGTTCAGAACTTGCCAGGAAAGTGTGGGTGGGAGGAGAAGCCTCGCCTCGCGCAGAATCGCAGTGTTACTTGTTCTAGGATACCATTTCCATCTGGCTCCTGCAGGGCGAATGGTGTAGTCAGGATTCTGCTGTAATAATAGATCATCATCTGGTTGCTCAGGCAGGAAGTTATTGAATGGCTTGCAGGATTGTTGGGAGGCTGAAGACACAGATTCCAGCTGAACTTCCAGGCACAACTCCCCAAAGCCACAGCACAGGACAGAGTGACCAGGGCGCTGCGGCCTCACCGTGAAGGGGGGCCCTAGCGTGGGGAGACTACCTGGAAGGCCAAAGCTCGCCTCTGCTGCAGCCTGTCTCAGCCCGAGGACCCCTGTCCCTCCCCAGCGCCGTCCACTCCAGGCCAGGCCACATCTTGCCGACTGGCAAACCCTTGATCACATCTGAAATCCTAGTTGCAGGGAGTCCTGAGGTGTCATCTCCCCAATCTTTGTGGGCCAGGAGGGGTTTGGGACGCATGGACAAGCCAATTTACTATTGTCACCAAGTATTTATGATGAACAGGAGGCCCAACGCATGGGTAGGGTCCCTAGGCCTAGCCTGTGATCAGGGCCATCTTGCCCCTGCTCGCCAGCCCCCAGTCCCACCCCGCTGCCACCCACCCTGGTTCCCCATGGTTCCCTATTGGCCATCCAGCGATCGGAGCCTGAGGGGGGGGGGAGGGACCGAGAGGTGGTCAATGCACCTCATAGCAACTGGTTGATCAATCGTTCTGGTCATTATGCATTATGGTCGCTGGCCTTTTATTATATAGGATAATATTTATGTCTTTCTTTTTTATAGTTTGCAGAATAGACTCACATTTATTTTGATTTCTACATATTAATATGCTATTTCTGGCCATTCTCAAGAAAACACCCCTGATAAAAACTGAGAGCGGCACCTACATTATTTCCAAAGACACAAAGCTGATGCAGAACAGGATTTTAAATGTGGGCTCTCCTTCCAGACCCGGGTGTTTCCTCCACATCCGTTCTGTCCCCACCCGCGTCTTTCCCCACGAACACCCGCCACCTTTGCGACTGACTTGCTCTTTGCCGTGCAGACCTGTGCGTGCGGAGCTGGAGCCCGAGGCCGCCGCCCCCGGCTGCTGGCCCGGCATCCTCGTCAGCAGAGCCCCCGCTGCGCCTTTGGAGCCCGCGACCACCGTGAAGTCCCTCATCAAGTCCTTTGACTTGGGACACCCAGGTATTTAATCGTCTTGTTTTATAAGCAAAACTCAGTTCAAACCAAGGCCCCAAACATCAAGCCTGTCTCTACTCTTCACTGACCCTAATTGGTGCATCCACAAGGTTTTCTTCTAGATCATTCCACAGCAAGCCTCTGTACACAAGAGATATGCTGCAGCTGCAGTGAGCTGGCCATGGGCAGCCTCCCTCCCTGCCTCCTCCTCGCCTGCTCCTGCCTCGCCACCTTCCTTTGCCACCTTTCGCCGTCTGTGGTCAGGTCAGCCAGAGCTTCACCTCCTGGGCAGGGTCGGTGCTCTGGTTGTGCCTGGCCCAGCCTGCAGCGCGCAGATGGGCTTTCCTGCACCTGGTCTTGTTTTAGTGCAGCCACTATGCCATCTGTCACTCCTGATCTCAGTACAGCCTGCCTTTTTCTGGAAATGTCACCTTTAGCCACTATTATCCACATATAAGAAAAAATGTATATCTATTTCTCTATACACATAAATATAATAAATAGGAAAACCAAATGTGCATCTGCCCAAAATAACAATGTATTTCTTCACTTGACTCAACAAATACACTTATTGTTTTTGGAAGACTGGAGTAATAGCTGATTTTAGGATGATCCTGTTTTGTTTTTGTTTTTTTCTGTTAAAATAATTTGTAGCTAAGTTAGATTAAGATTAGACTACAAATATTGAAAGATATGAAATCCCAGTGACTACATTCAGTCTATGAAGATGGGAAATGAATTAATAGTGGTTTATGCAAGAATTTTCCTGTTCCTTATTGTCCTGTATCTAAGACCAACACCACTTAGTTCATTCCTCCCCTCTCTCCAGTTCAACACTCGTCCACAGGGGAACAGGAGGAAAGAGTATATACATACCACTTTATAAACAGCATGGCATACATTTTTAGTTGCCAAAAAAGTAACAAATCAGGAGCTATTTGCGATTTCGAACTCACTATACATCAAAGCTCCCATCTCTTGCAGGTGAAGCCGGACAGAATGTTTCTGTCCACAAGCCGCCGAGAAGCCCCCTGAGCGGAATACCAGTGAGGACGGCCCCGGCGGCCGCCGTGTCTCCAATGCAGGTACTAGAAGGGGGTGCGTGTGGGCTGCTCTGTGTCTTCTACACGAGCGACAAAAGGGAGTAAAAACCAATTGGTTTATTTTTTGAGACAAGTTAAACATTTTTAATAAACCTAAAGTAATAATAGTTTAACTTTCTTCTTTTATATAAATTTTCTGGATTTCAGAGAAAGAGGGAGAGAGAGAGAATCATTTATTGGCTGCCTCCTACATGCCCACAACCTGGACATGTGCCCAACTCAGAATCAAACCATGATCTTGTGGTTCACAGGTTGATGCTCAACCACTGAGCTATGCCAGCCAGATAATACTAGTTTAATTTTAATTAAAATGTATACTTTTAATGCCTAATAAAGGTCTAAGAGAGACACAATAAACCTCATACAATTTTGGTAATTTTTTTCCCTGTAAGATGACACCTTTGAAGTTTTCAATTAAATGAAGATTGTAATTTTTACTAGAAATGAAGATTGAACTAGATTTTTTTTCCAAAGAATTGTTTTTTCTTAAACTCCCTCAGAGAGAAAGTTTACAATTTATAAATTCTTAAGAGCTCTCTGGATGCTTCCTGCCATCTGTGCTGCTTCTGATGGTTTTAGACCAAAGCTTCTTGGCATTTCCTAAGACCAGGGCTTTTTCTTTTATATATATATATTTTAATTTTTATTTATTTTTAAAAACACTTTTTAAAAAATAATTATTTATTGTTGACAGTATTACATATGTCCTCCATTTCCCCCCAATCAACCCCTAACCCCCTACAGCCCACCCCACCCCCTGCCCCAGGCTTTCAGCACCCTATTGTCTCTGTCCAGGGGCCATGCATATGTGCACACAAGGTCTTTGGTTGATTAGCCCCTCCACCCACCCTCCCCCACCTTCCCTCTGAGATTCTGCACTCTGTTCCATGCTTCCATGTCTCTGGATCCACTCTGTTCCTCAGTTTATTTTGTTAATTAGATTCCACATATGAGTGAGATCACGTGATACTTGTCTTTCTCTGACTGACTTATTTCACTTAGCATGATGCTCTCCAGGTCCCTCCATGCTGTCTCAAAGGGTAAGAAACTCTTGGGGGGTTTTTTTTGGTTTTTTTTACTGCTGCATAGTATTCCATGATGTAAATGTACCACAGCCTTTTATCCACTCATCTGCTGATGGGCACTTGGGCTGTTTCTAGATTAGCTATTGTAGATTGTCCTAGAAGTGGGGTCAGTGGGTCAAATGGCAGCTCCATATTTATTTCTTTTTTTTTGGGGGGGGGGGGGGGGGAGAGACTCCATACTGCTCTCCACAGCGGCTGCACCAGTCTGCATTCCCACCAGCAGTGCACGAGGGTTCCCTTTTCTCCACATCCTGGCCACACTTGTCATTTGATGATTTTTTGACGGGTGTGAGGTGGTACCTCATTGTTATTTTAATTTGCATCTCTCTGATGATCAGTGACTTTGAGCATTTTTTTATATGTATCTTGGCCGTCTGTACGTCCTCTTTGGAGAAGTGTCTATTTAGGACCTTTGCCCATTTTTCAGTTGGATTGTATGTCTTACTTTTGTTAAGTTGTTTGAGTACCTTATGTATTTTGGATATTAACCCTTTATCAGATGTGTCATTGCTAAATATATTTTCCCATACAGTGGGCTCCCCTTTCATTTTGATGGTTTCTTTTGCTGTGCAGAAGCTTCTTATTTTTGTGTAGTCCCATTTGTTTATTTCTCCTTAGTTTCCTTTGCCCTAGGAATCTAATTTTGATTCCTGATGGGCACTTGGGCTGTATTTGTAAACATTGCTATGAGATGTCTTAAGATTTTGTTGCCGCCGAAACCGGTTTGGCTAAGTGGATAGAGCGTCGGCCTATGGACTGAAGGGTCCCGGGTTCAAGTCCGGTCAAGGGTATGTACCTATCCCTCTCTCTTCCTATCTGTAAGAAATCAATAAAATATATTTTCTTTAAAAAGATTTTGCTGCCTATGATTTCTTCTGGGATTTTTATAGTTTCCTGACTTACATTTAAGTTTTTTATTCATTTTAAGTTTATTCTTGTGTATGTTGCTGGTCTAGTTTCATTTTTTTTGCCTTGCCTCTGTCCAATTTTCTCAACACCATTTACTGAAAAGACTGTATTAACTCCACTGTATGCTCTTGCCTCCTTTGTCAAATATCAATTGGTGTCTCTGTTCTGTCCCATTCATCTATATGCCTGTCCTTGTGCCAGTACCAGGCTGTTTTGAGTACAGTGGCTTTGTAGTATAACTTGAAATCTGGTATTGTGATTCCTCCATCTTCAACTTAGGGAGAACAAGTTAATATAAGACACTGTCTTATTTTCGGGAAAACAGGGTAGTAGTAATGGTAGTAGTAAAGAAAAAATCTCCCTTCACCCTAAACCCAGAAATAACCACCATTTATGGCTTATTGTATACCCTTCTAGATTTTTTTTTTAGCATAAAAGTGTGTGTGTGTGTGTGTGTGTGTGTGTGTGTGTGTGTGTGTAGGGAAAGTTTTATAAATTGGAATACACTATACACTACACATTATTCAGATACTGGCTCATTTCACTTGGTTATTGAAATATAATCCTTAAGGTCAGAGATTTTTATCTAGTTTGCTTGTAGTATATCTCTTGCCTATAACACTGGCTAGCACATAGTTATATAGAGGAAGCTCAATAAATATTTGTTTAATGAATGAAGGACTCTATCAAAGACATCTTTAAATTTCAGTATTTAGGAAAACAATTCATTTTTAAGGCTATATTATATGCAACTATTTATTTAAACACACCTCTATTGATGGACATTTAGCTTAATTTGGATTAAACTTATTAAAGAACAATACAATGAAATTCTTTTCATATCTCTGTTGGCCATTAAAAAAACAGTGTTTTTACACATACCCTTGAACATGCATAGAATATTTCAGGAAGACAGTCACAAAGCTGTTTAATAATGATTACACCTGCCCAGTCAGTGTGGCTCATTACTCATGAACCAAGAGGTCACAGCTGGATTCCTGGTCAGGGCACGTGCCCAGTTGTAGGCTCAATCCCTAGTGTGAGGTGTGCAATGATTCTTATCATTTATCTCACTCCATCTCCTTGCCTCTCTCTAAAATCAATAAAAACTTTTTAAAAATTTAAATAAAATATGATTTCCCCCAGGGAGAGGAACAGGAAAGGCAGACTTCCTTCTAACTATGTGTCTTCTCTTAGACCTTTTGAGGATCACACCAAGTGAATTTATTCTCTTTCCGAACTAATATGTTGTTGTAAAGCTCCCTCCGGTGATTCTGATGAACTTGAGAACCTGTGTACATACATGTGTGCACACACCTTGCTTGAGCTGGTCCTGATGTCACAAGTTCACCTGCTGGTGTTCCCTTTGGTTTTGCAGAGGCATTCCACCTACAGCGGCATCCGCCCAGCCAGCAAAGGAGTGGCCCAGCGCCTGGATCTTCCCGACCTGCCCCTCTCAGGTAAATGGTCTTCAGCATGATTACTTGCTTTTTTGTGGGGTTCACTTTTCTTAGCATGAACCGTGCTTAGAAGAATATGCTGTTTATTGCAGACGATGCCGGGCTCTCGGTGTGTGTGACAAGGGTGAGAGCCTGCTCCCGCGCAGTGCCTTCTCCCGCGCAGGGTGCCGGGCCGCGTCCGGCTGTGGGAGCTGTGCTTGTTTGTTTGTTTTATACTAAATCTCAGGGGGGAAATATTTTAAGAAAGAAAAATCATATCTGATTCTGACAGTCTATTCCTTCCATAATTTCTAAAATAGAACTTTTGAGATATTTCTGTCTTTGAGAATAACCCTCATCCACATATTATTGAAAGTCACATCCTGACAAGGAAGTGCTGGTTGTAGCTGAATTCCTCAGTGTCACATGTTCACTCCTGCTCTGCCTCCCCCACTGGAAGCCAGTCACACAGAGTTACAGGGCACATGGTTACGGGGCACACGGTTATGGGGCACACGGTTATGGGGCACGTGGTAACAGAGTACATGGTTACGGGGCACACGATTATGGGGTACACGATTCCGGGGCACATGATTACGGGCACTCAGTTACTGGGGACACGGTTACAGGGCACACAGTTATGGGATCTCGGTTACTGGGGACACTGTTACGGGGCACACAGTTATGGGGCACACGATTCCGGGACACACGGTTATGGGGCACACAGTTACGGGCACTCAGTTACTGGGGACACAGTTACGGGGCACACGGTTACAGGGCACACGGTTACAGGGCACATGGTTACGGGGTCTCGGTTACTGGGGACACGGTTACGGGGCACACGGATATGGGGCACACGATTCCGGGGCACATGGTTACGGTCACTCAGTTACTGGGGACACAGTTACGGGGCACACATTTATGGGGCACACAGTTAGGGGCACACGGTTAGGGGTACTCGGTTACGGGGCACTCGGTTACTGGGCACTCGGTTACGGGGGACCAGGAGAGGGATGCTGGGTTTGAACTGGCACTGCCACCTGCAGGCCGGCTGTGGCCATGTCATCCCACCTCAGTACGTTGGTCTCTCCTCTCCAAAGTGCAAAGCATGCTGTCTGCTGGTAGACGCTGCAGGGGAGGAGGGTGCTGCAGCAGGCTCGCTCTTGTCCTGTCTGCACACCGGCTCACCTGCAGGCAGAGACCTGAGCAGCAGTGAAGTCGTCCGGAGTACACACCTCAGCCACGTAGGTAGAAGTCCTTTGCTTTTACGTTAAGACAGAATTTCTGTAACGTGGTGTGAACAAAAAGTACATTCCCCACTGCACTTCTTTGGGGTCATGGTCAGATGTGGACAGATTTAATTCTGAAAATAGTTGTTTCTGTAAGGTGAGTTTCCCTCTTTGATTGTAAATTCTTTTACCTTACTACCTTATTTTCCCCTCTGAGTTCCGTTTGCTTGTTCATGGCTTGAGGACTTTAGAGTGAATAAATACTGACAGCGGGAATCTAAGTTCCCTGGGCCTGTGCGCTGCAGGTGACAAGTGAGACCCAGCCCTACAGCAGCTACTCAGCTCCGGGACCAGGAGCGTTCTCATTTCCCCGCAGTGTGGCCTCTCGGTCACGAGGCTGGTGACGGCTCCGATTCACAGCTTCATAAAGACACGATGAAGGTTTGCAAACACTTTCACTTCATAGTACTGACGCCAGGAAGAAGGAAATGGTGGCCAAGGACCAGTGGGTAGTCCAAGGTGGCAGAGTGAGAAAGACAGTGAAGGGGTGAGTGAGGCCCAGAGCAGGTGGTTATTCCTGTGCCAACAGTGGGTGCCAGGGAGCAGCTTGCCTGGAGGCATAGTGCTGGGCATCTTAGGCACATGTGGCTTTGATTGTGGTAAATACCTATGACACAGCATTTATTATCTTAACCATTTTCAAGTGTAGTAGGTGAGCCTTAGGTCACAATATTTGTCTTTTCCGTTCTTCCAGCTTTGAAATTCCCATTTGTATAGAGAAAGCCTTCTAATTGACAGGTAAATGCTGATGCTAGACCACAGCAGCTGGTGCCTCCAGTGACTAGTTGTTGGCAACGCCCCGCTCCCCACCGGCACCTGTCTGCCCACCGGGCACCTGTCTGCGGCGACTGTTTACTCTCTGAGAGGGATTACCGTGAAAACCGCTTGCTTTCAGGCTGGACAACACTGAGTCATCAGAGACTGTAGAAATGGGATTCCTGTGTTTTTGTTGTTTTCTTCAGTGGTGTAAGCACTGTTTTCCCTGCGCTTCCAGCTCCCCATAATTGGTGGCTGTTAGTGTACAAACAGTATTTTCTTCCATGACTAAGGGGCCGAGGGGGTGACTGAGGGCTCGCCTGTGGCACCGAGCAGGCACTTCATTTTCCGAGCTCCCCTTTCCTTTGTCAATACAAACTAGACAGCCCAGAACGTTCTCGCCGGATGCCTGGCCCGATGAGAACAGTCAGCTGGAATCAGCCTGCTTTGTTACCTGTGTTGACTCAGACGAATGTGACAGCAGAGAGGAGCCTGAAGAGAATTCCTTTTACTTCTTTTTAGAAAGCCAGGGGTTTTTGCCTGTAAAATAATTGTCATTCTTGGTGCCCAGCTCTGTCTGCTGCCTCTGTGAGCTGATGGTCCCTTAGGCACCTTCCTGCCAGCCCCCTCTCAGATGCCCATCAGTGAAAGCCGTGTACCGGCCTCGAGGACAGCGCTGGCCTTGTGGGCATTGGCCGTGCACGGGCACAGGCTCTTAAAAAAGGCGCAGGCCCAGCGCTCTGGTGCATCTTGAAATCCTGAATGGTTTTTAAAAAGGGGTAATTTGGCATTAGTCCTTTGAATTATATAGTCATCCCTGCCTGAGCAGTCCTTTCTAGAAAATATCACTTCCCTACTTGCATTTTTATTGTCTATCTAGAAACTGTGTCTGCTACCTGTTTGTATTTGGAATAAAATGAGAATTGTACTGTACAATGGTACTGCACGGTACAACATTTTAAAAGTGCGATGCCTTCGGGAGTAGTGATCATGCTGTTGTGCACACAGGTCTTCTGAAGGGAAGAGCTGACAACCTGAAGCCAGACCCTTACCTCCGCAAGAGCCCCTCCCTGGAGTCGCTGAGCAGACCCCCGGCCCTGGGCTTCGGAAGCACGCGGCTGCTGAGCACGTCCACCGGGGGCCTGAGGCCACCCAGCAAACTCAGGTACCCCGTCTGAGAAAGCAGACAACGGGCCGATGCCCTGTGTTCCTCCTTCGTCTGTCTGTTCCTTATGTTACAGAATTTACCAGGCTACTGAAAAATACACGGGCATATCGGAGATACCGGAAACCCATTTAGTTCCAGATGCACTAGTTCCAGATGCTGAGCAAGCCAACATGGAGGGAGCTTTCTCTTATACCCTTTGGTTTCTTTGTCCCCAAATAAGGATCAGACTTCAGACCTTTCCCAGGCTTTGCAAAAAGCCCCGTGTGTTGGGATGGGGGCCGTGAGACCACACCTAAAGGCCTGGCTGGCGCCGGCGCTGACACCTCCTCCGGGGGTTGTGTTTGCTTCATGGTTTATGGCCTCTGCAAAATGGGAGTTTTAGGTAAATAGCTCTTGCAAGACCAGATAATTAAGGGAGGAGCAGTGACTAGACTATATAGGCTGCCAGAGATGTGCATTAGGGATATTGATTAACCAGGTACAGAGTTAGTAGGCTGCTAGGTCCCTCACTCCCCCCCCCAAAATTTCTTATTTTTCTCATCAGCCCTGCTCTCCCTAACCCTAACTCCCCTCCCCCCTCTGCAGGGGAGAGCAGTTGGGGGGGACCAGGCTGATTTCCAGCCTTGGAGATTCAATAGAAGACTCAGAGCTAGGAGTGGGGTGTTTAGCAGCGTGAGTTTTTTCATTTTTATTACCCAAGGGATTGTGGTGGCAGTCCAGAGACCTGGTCTGGAGTAACATCTGGGGCTTAAGGGCTTACTGATTCCATTAGCTGTTCTAAACCTATTGGCTTCTTAGCGGAAGGGAAAGGGAGTCTGCACGAGTTTCTTCATCTCCAGCTTCAGAGCAGTTGGAGTGGTGAGAAGCATGTCTTTCCTCATTACTTATGGACACTTTACTTCTACACATACTTCCTGAGTGAAATGGTCAAGACCCAGCACCTGCCTTCAGGAGGGAGAGGATCTGGGCAGTGGATCTGGGCAGTAGAGGCAGAGTGACATGAGGGCTGTGGGGCAAGGACCGAGCTGGTGCTCGGCGCTGCTGTGAGGCCAGAAGCCGGGAGAGGAGGCAGCAGTTCTGGGGCGCCTGCAGGGATCGGGTCAGGCGGTGAGCCTGGGCTGCGGCTGCACTGGTTGAGGGTCTGGTGCAGGTGTGGTTGAGGGTCTGGTGCAGGTGTGGTTGAGGGTCTGGTGCAGGTGTGGTAGGCTTTCCGCCAGGAGGGGCTGGGAGGTGGGTCCTTGGGACATCACTCCAGGAAAGGCCGGTGGGAGCCAGGGTGCAAATGCCAACATCAGATGCTGGCACTCGTTTTGGTAAAGCAGTGGGACCACCAGGTCTGGTTCTGATGTGTGTAGTGGTAGTAGGACAGTGAACAGTGGCTGTAGAAATGGGAGGGGCATTGCTAAGGGTGCTTCAGCGGGAGGTGAGGGCTGGAGTGGGCGATGAGTAGGCAGAGACCGCCGGGTGGGCACAAAAGGCTATCTTTGCTCTCACATCTCTGCCACCGCCTCCCTTCCATCACGTCCTGCTTCTCCGCGGGGAGTCAGCCTCTGGAACACAGTGCTTCCTGTGCATCCGTGTCAGAAACCTCCGCCTGGGTCCACCCGGTTCTCCCATCTCCGGTTCTCCTCAAGCTGCCCCTTGGCCACCCCACCCCCGTGTGCAGAAAGTCCCTACTCCTCAGTCAGCAAAGCCTGTTCTTCCTCTGCCTTTGCAGCATGATGCGGGCACTTCTGGTGCCACCGAGGCTCCGGCCGCAGTGCCTGTCTGGTGGCCGTGAACTCGTGAACACCTCTCCTTCCAGGACAGACTGTGCAGGAGGTTTCACTGATTCCCTGGGAGCATCAGCACTCCTTTCTCTGCCTTCGGCATCTCCGCTCCTTTGGGTGTTTAATTCACTCTACAGAGTAGCATGTCTTCGCCCTTGTTAAGACTAATTAGTGGACATTAAATTCTTTGTGTTACTTTTTTTTTAAATATATTTTATTGATTTTTTTACAGAGAGGAGGAGAGAGGGATAGAGAGCTAGAAACATCGATGAAAGAGAAACATTGACCAGCTGCCTCTTGCACACCCCCTACCGGGGATGTGCCCGCAACCAACGTACATGTCCTTGACTGGAATCGAACCTGAAACCTTTCAGTCCACAGACCGACGTTCTACCACTGAGCCAAACTGGTTTTGGCTTTGTGTTACATTTTTATGGCATTCTCAGCTTCTTGTGTTGTGGTACACCCATAGCATTTCACTCAATAAACAGGTAGATATTAAAAATTTGTAGATAGCTCGGCTGGCATGGATCAATGATTGAGAGTCAACCTATGAACCAGGAAGTCACAATTCAATTCCTAGTCAAGGCACATGCCTAGGTTTTGGGCTCAATCCCCAGCAGGCAGCCAATCAGTGATTCTCTCTCATCATTGATGTTTTGATTTCTCTCTCCCTCTCCTTTCCTCTCTGTAATCATTAATAAAAAAATATTTATAAAAATGAAACAAAAGAATGGGTAAGTAGATGAGTATACAGAATTGTCTATCTTAGGAGTAATGGCTTTTTAACAGACATTACAACTACCATTATGAATATTATAAAAGGATTTTTTTGAAGCCTTAATAAGTTCAGCTCTTGCCATATATTTCAGTAGTCATTATTTGGGCCCAAATAAATGAAGTCATATCATTCAGAGGTTTAATTAAAAGCTTCAGGTATTACATGTCAGTCTCGTTTATGTGCAAGAGATTGAAATAATCAAAACAGGTTTTAAGGGCCAAAATTAGTGCTATTCTGAAATGGCTCTGTTACACTTTATTTTTTTCTAGGTTCTCTTTTCTTTGTGCCAGAAATGCATACAAAAAGAGCTATTTATACTATACCCTTAATCATGAAAGTTTAAATTATTAATAGTAAAATTAATTTGTTACTTGTTTTTATTTTCATGTCACTGAGAAAAACCAATGGCAGGATAGAAATTATCTTGGAAGTTCTCATCCTATTATTAATTTTTTTTTTTTTTTTGCAATCATATCTAGATAGTTCTGGGAGTTTTTTGTTTGTTTTTTCTCTGTTTAGCCATTTCATATAGAAGGAGGACACACAGATCATGGCAATGCTGATCTATCCCACCAGCATAGCCACTGGAATCTCTTGGGAGAAAATGTGGCAGTCAATGGGAAAGGTAGCTCTGTTTCTAAAAGAAAGCTGTTCGGTAAAGGTTTTAGTCACCATTTATACAGAAACTCCCTCCCAGATGTTCATTTAGTCTCCCCTAGTTTGTCAGGCCTAGACATTGAACTCTAAGAAATGGAATAGGTGCAGCAGGCACAGCAAACACAAGCAAAGTCACCATAACTTCATAGAAGAAACTTGTGGGTTTGAGTTTACAAATGTGTCAGATAGAAGGAAAGGTAGGCATCACATTTTACAAGAACATTTTAATTCAAGTATGAAGTTTTCCTTAAAGCCTCCCTACCTTGATGCAGATTGTCACAGTCTAGACTCATCCCATTACTTCTTTTAAATCATTTAAAATATGTTTATTAAATATTGGATGGATACAGAATAACAATAAAATATGTGTAAGGTATAAGGAATATCAACCCAATGGAGGGCAACCTGGACACCCACCTTCCAGTTTAAGGGAAACGAAAATTAATACTTTTGAACTTCCTGTCAATCCCTGCCATTTGCAGCACCTCCTGCCCCTTCCTTGCCCTCCTCCAAGGTCACCACCATTCTGAACTCTTGTGTTTTTCCTGCTTTTCTTTACAGCTTCTCCATATATTTTGTATACCCAAACAATACAAATAGCATTTTAATTAAGTTGCATATTTAAATTTTATTTATTCATTTAATCCTCACCTGAGGATATTTGTATTACTACTGACTTTTAGAAAAAGGGGGGGAGGGGAGAGAGAGAGAGAGAGAGGGAGGGAGGGAGAGAGGGGGAGAGAGAGAGAGAGAGAGAGAGAGAGAGAGAGAGAGAGAGAGAGAGAGAGAGAGAGAGAGAATGTGAGAAACAAATGTGAGAGAGTTTTGCCTCCCATACTAGCCCCAACCGGGGATCAAATCCAAAATCTAGGTATGTACCCTGACCAGGAATCAAACCCTCACCCTTTGGTGTCTGGTCTGATGTTCCATACAGCTGAGCCACCTGGCCAGGGCATGTTTACAACTTTGTGTACATACACACATTGTGGGAGTTAATTCAAAATTGTTCCTGCTGTTCATTCCAGTTATTACATACATCTGTAATTCATTGGTTTTTATTGCTGAATGGTATCCTGCTATGTAAATGTCCCCAGTTTATCATTTTCCTGATGACGTGCGATTGGTTGTTCCAGTTTTTGCTGTTATGAAAAGGGCTGCTGTTGGCAGTTGTTGCCAGCGATTGGACTTCAGTTTAGAAGCCTCAGAACTTGAGTTCTAGCAAAGAAAGACTTTAGAGCCAAGACTCAAACTGCAAGAAGCCGTTTATTTAGACAGTCACAGGGTAGAATGAGTGAGCTGTAGAAGAAAGGGTCAGGAAACAAGCGACAGAGGCAAAAGCAGGGCCCTTGGAGCTTAGGGGGAGAGGCAAGGAAACCGTGGGGAAAGGTAGGCTGTGCTCCCAGAGAGGGCCTTGCTGGTCCGCCATCTTAAGGGCTTCCGAGGGAAGCCCCAGGGGAGGATCTCAATAGAGTATTGGTCACCTTTCCAGGGGTGTCCTTTCAGGGTCATGGTCCCCATGATTGGTCGGCACCAGGACAAGGTGTCATTTGTCACTGTAGCTGGTCTTAAGGTCAGTCCCTTGTCTGGTTTTGCCTCTTCTCTGGGCCTGGAGCAGAAACACAACTGATGTTATTTTAGGGGTTAATGCTTAAGGCTGTGGTCGGCAACCTGGGGCTCTCAGCCACATGCGGCTCTTTGGCCCCTTGAGTGTTCTAACGCCACTTCTTCAAAATAGACTCACCCGGACCGAAACGGATGTGTGCGCGTGGGCCACAAAGTTTCAGTCGCACTATCCGTGTGCGCCCACACGTGGTATTTTGTGGAAGAGCCACACTCAAGGGGCCGAAGAGCCGCATGTGGCTTGCAAGCCACAGTTTGCCGACCACTGGCTTAAGGGATTGGTCACGCAAGGGCCCACACAGAGTTACTTGAAGCCACTTTTCGGCCTCTTGTTCCTCCTCCCAGGGGGTCTACCACATGACTAATGATGTGCTAAGAGGGGAAAGGTCAGGGAGGGTCCGAGCTGCATGATGGGTGTGCTGGGAGGAAACTCAATGGGGGTTGAGGTCCTTGTTTTTCCCAGTTTTGCCTTTGCTAGGCACTGGGGGCTTTCTGCCCTGGTGCCCTGTTCCTGGCCCGTCGTCTTTGCTGTCCGCATGCCTGTCCTCCTGCCCACCACACTGCTGTGAACACTCCTGTGCCGCGGTGATGTGTGTGCCAAGGGGTAAACCCTGCTGCTCTGATGTGCCGCTGCTACAGTGGACCCTCCAGACATGCCCTGCCCTCTGTTCTCTCTCTCCCTGCTCTCCTGCACACAGTCCCGGGAAACCGCGGACTACCGTGTTTCCCCGAAAATAAAACATCCTCCGAAAATAAGACCTACTTACAGGTTTCCTTCTGAGTGAAATATAAGGCATCCCCCCGAAAATAAGGCCCCCCTAGGCTAAACATGAGAGATTTGGTCCACTGATTCTGAAAGAAATGGAGTCATAAGAAATTCACCAGGAAATTCAGGAATTGGATTGTTAGGATGATGTTCCAGAAGATGGTGACATGATTGTCATTGAATTCTTGATACTGTAAGTTCTTGATACTGTAAGATTCACAGTTTGTCTGGTTTGTGTTCACAACTACTGTACTACCGTACCCTATAGAGGTAATATCCTTTAATTTCACTTATCAATAAATGTGTACCGTATTCTTCTTCATGGAAAAATAAGACATCCCCTGAAAATAAGACCTAGTGCATCTTTGGGAGCAAAAATTAATATAAGACACCGTCTTATCTTCGGGGAAACAGGGTATTCCAGTGGGATGGGACTATAAATCCTCCTTCCCTGGCTTCCTCATGGAAGAAACCGTGTGATCTTAAGTCCCTTTTCAGAATTTGGGACTTTTAGGCAGCATAACATTAACATAGACATTCACAGAAAAACTAAAGGCCGGTGCACGAAATCCGTGCACAGGAGTGAGTGTCCCTCAGCCCAGCTGCACCCTCTCCAATCTGGGACCCCTCGAGGGATGTCTGACTCGCCCTTAGGGGATCAGTAGGATCGGGACTAAAGGGGCAGTCGGACATCTGTCTCACAATCCAAGATGGCTGGCTCCCAACTGCTCGCCTGCCTGCCTTTCTGATTGCCCCTAAGTGCTTCTGCCTGACAGCCTTATCACCCCTAACCACTCCCCTGCCAGCCTGATTGAAACTGCTCTCCTATCGGCCTGTTTGCCCCTAATTGCCCTCCCCTGCAGGCCTGGTCCCCCCCAACTGCTCTCCCCTGCAGGCCTGGTCCCCCCAACTGCTCTCCCCTGCAGGCCTGGGTCCCCCCCAACTTCCCTCCTCTGCTGGCCTGGTCACCCCTAATTGCCCTCTCCTGCTGGCATGATCACTCACAACTGCCCTCCCTTGCAGGCCTGGTCCTTCCCAACTCTCTCCCCTGTTGGCCATCTTGTGGCGGCCATCTTGTGTCCATATGGGGGCAACCATCTTGTGTGTTGGAGTGATGGCCAATTTGCATATTACTCTTTTATTAGATAGGATTGAGGATGGGCACTTGAACTCTTGCTCCTGGAAAATCACTTTCTTTGGGTAAATGGGGCTCAGAATTGAGTTACTGTGCCAAGAATGGAAGAGCATTGGTGTCACCTCTGGAGTTTGAAAGCCGCCTTTGAGTAATTGTTCCATACTTTTGCCTTTCACCTCCATTCCCAGCGTCTCACCCACAAGAACCAATCTAGTGTTTTTGACCCGCGTTTGCCACAGTTTGCTGACCACTGCCCTCTACCCTACCTTTTATATGACATGCAGACATAAGTGGGGCCCTAACACGTCAATTCTATAGGTATCTTTAATTAAAATGATACTGTACTTAAGTAAACAAATAAAAGGCTAGATGGCTAGAGTAATAGGTGGACTTAACATTTTTTTTTAAAAACCTATTATATATACTTTTAATTGTCAAGAAAGACAATCTAATTTTTCTTTCTTATCTTGAGACATTAAAATGTATTGCTAGGGACCAGTTTGGCTCAATGGATAGAGCGTCGGCTTGGGGACTGAAGGGTCCCGGGTTCGATTCCGGTCAAGGGCATGTACCTTGGTTGCGGGCATATCCCCAGTAGGGGGTGTGCAAGAGGCAGCTGGTCGATGATTCTCTCTCATCAATGTTTCTAACTCTATCTCTTTCCCTTCCTCTCTGTATAAAATCAATAAAATATATATTTTTTTAAAAATGTATTGCTAATCTGACTGATTTGGTTGTTGTTGTTTTTTGTGTGTGGGGTTTTTTGTTTGTTTGTTTGTTTTTGGAGTCTTACTGGAATGACCTAGACTTCTGCTTTTCTAATCAAGTTATTTATTATATATTTGAGGGCTCTAAAAACTCACATCTTCTCTTTGCTGTGCCTCCCCTTTCTAACCAGTGTGGGAAGAAGAGACCCTCTGGCTGCCCTGGCCCGGGAGTACGGAGGCTCAAAGCGCAACGCGCTGCTGAAATGGTGCCAGAGGAAGACAGAAGGCTACGCGGTAAGGGGTGTCCACCGCTCCCAGGCGCTCTGGCTCTGACTGTCCAAGCCAGTGTGTGTTCCGTGCGCCCTGTGCTCTCTAGGCCGGTGCGTGGCGCTGCCATCTTTCGGGGCTGCCGGTTGCAGTTGTGCGTGGCTCAGAGTATCCAACAGTGGCTGGTGGGCCAGGAGCCAGTCTGCACTCCAGCCCCGCGCCTGTCCCGAAGTGCAGAACCGGCTCCTGCGGGGGGAGGGCTCCTCCTCTCTGCTCAGAGTAGGCGTAAGCTCCCTAGCAGGTCCCGGCAGGCCTCTTCGGCTTTTGCGGAATCATCTTCCCAGAAAGGGCCCCTTTTCCTAATTCCCTCCAGGTCCCGCCTAGCTGAGCCTTCAGCATTTCTCTGTTCCTTTAAGAGTTGTTTGCATTGAGTTTAGGAATTTCTGTTTACCAGAGCAGTGTTTTCTGTGGAAGTTAGACAAGAAAGTAATACCTGATGTGATGTAAGCTTTTCCATCAGGACCGTGGCACACAGAGGTACGTGCATCAGACAGTTTCAGGAACAGCCGCACTCACTGCGGAAATCAGCCTGCCCACCCCGCCGCCCCTCCGGCCGGGGACAGCTGCCGTTATCTCCCTCAGAGCTTTCTGCTAAAGTGTGCGCCCCACATGCTAACTTAGTTTTGTCTGCATTTGAACTTTATAGAATGAAATTTTAACTGTAATATTGCACCTGCCACTTGGGGAGACTTTGTGTTTTAATGATCGGATGGTCAGAATGAAGTTTCTGCTGCCCCACGGGTGGGTGTGCATGAATGCCGTCTGCGGGGAGGGAAATGTGTGCAGGAATCTCAAACATGAGTGCCCTTTAGCTCAGGAATTGTGTTTCCAGAAAGCAATTGTGAAGACTGTGAGGATACAATTTTGAACAAGTTGATTACAGTTTTATTATTTAAAGTTATTTTTAAAGAACTAGAAATAATACAGATTTCTAACAATAGGGGAATCAAGCTTAAAAATCTTGCTTTGTGAAAATATATTTAAAGGAACTAGAAAAAGTGTGCCCACTATATTAGGTCGACAGTTAGGTTCTAAAGCAATATAGTATGCTTCCAATTCTGTAAAAATTATTTATATAAATGTTATATTAACATTAACAGCAGTTATCACTGGATGAGTACTTAAATTTTATTCATGCTTTCCTGTGAACTTTTCATTTTATGCAATGAGCATGTAAGTTTTTAACAGAAATATTTTAATTGCATCTTTTTAAAGGAAAGAAGCCAGATCCAAAAGGCTGCATATTATATGGTTTCCTTTGTGTGAATTGTCCAGTGTGAGCAAAGTCACAGGTCAGAAAGTAGATTGGAGGCTGAGGGAGGGAGGCCAGGAAGTGGCTGGGCACAGGTTTCTTTGGGGATGATACACTTGTGCTGGAATTAGTGGTGTTGGTTGTATGACCTGTGACTATACTAAAAGCTACTGAATTGTACATTTTTAAAGGGTAAACTCGCCTGGCTGGCATGGCTCAGTGGTTGAGCTTTGACCTATGAACCAGGAGGTCACGATTCAATTCCCAGTCGTGGCACATGCCTGGGTTATGAGCTCAGTCCCTAGTGTGGGGCATGCAGGAGTCAGCCAATCAATGATTCTCTCTCATCGTTGTTTCTATCTCTCTCCTCCTTTCCTCTCTGAAATCAATAAAAAATATTTTTTAAAATACATGAATAAAAGGGTAAAATTTGTGATATGTGAAGTATCTTAATAAACCTGTTATTACTTTTTTAAAGGGCAATTAGAAGAGCTGATATGGGGGATAAGAGAGATGGATGAGGGCAGAGGGGTGGAAACTGCTATTTAAATTACAAATCTCATCAAAATAACTTTAAACATACCTGGTATTACTTGGTATAATAAAAAAGAATTGAAGTAAAACAAAATGAGAGAGATGCAAGGTATGTTGGTTTTTATTTGGTAGGTGGGATCCACAGGTAATCGTGTCATTGTTATGATTCAGAGCCCAAATATATTTTTTGTATCAAATGGTATATAATGACATATAATTTAGAGGCAAAAGTTTGAAGGAAACAGCCAAAAAAGTATATTATAATCAACTGGAGGTCCAGTGCATGAAATTTTGTGCACTGGAGGGGGATCCCTCAGCCCAGCCTGCGCTCTTTCGCAGTCCAGAATCCCTCTGGGTTGTCTAACTGCCAGGACCCCTGGCTCCTTACTGCCCGCCTGCAGTGGAGGCAGGAGAGGCACCCACCTCCACTGGCTCACCAGCCGTGAGCCCAGCTGCTGGCTGAGTGGCGCTCCTGTGTGGTAGCATACTGACCACCAAGGGGCAGCTCCTACGTCATAGCAGCCGGTTGTTCTGCCATTTGGTTGAGTCTATGGATGTCCGACTGCCAGCTTAGGCCCTCCCTAAGCCATCAGTCAGATATCCCCTGAGGGCTCCTGGACTCCAAGGGGGCGCAGGCCAGGCTGAAGGACCCTCCCTTCCAAGTGCAGGAATTTTGTGCACTGGGCCTCTAGTATAGAATAATTTAACCAGATCTTTCTGAGGGAATTTTAAAAGTGAAAGAACAGGGCGCCTAAGGCATCACAGTGTGCAGAACGGGCTTGGGAGCCTGCAGGGTAGGCCCCTCCACCTCTCTGCCAGCCACTTCACAGCCATGTGGCAAGCCGATTTTTATAACAGCATCTTTTTAATTAAAATATAAACATAAATGACTGATAAAGCTTTTTTAGAAAAAGTGACACTTTCCCAAATAATGTATTTTCCCTGATTCGCACGGGCTATAACTCAGAATTTTTTCACTTTGGCCTAGCCTTTTTAGAGACTGTAAAAATGAACGTTTCTATCATTAGAGCTCAGCTATTTGAGGTAGAGACATGGAGGAATGTGGGTGTGGTCCTGGTACTCTGGATTTAGGTCCTGCAACATTTCTTTTTTTTTTTTTTTTTTTTTTTTTTTTTTTTTTTTTAATATATTTTATTGATTTTTCACAGAGAGGAAGAGAGAGGGATAGAGAGTTAGAAACATCGATGAGAGAGAATCATCGACCAGCTGCCTCTTGCACACTCCCCACTGGGGATTTGCCCGCAACCAAGGTACATGCCCTTGACCGGAATCGAACCCGGGACCCTTCAGTCTGCAGGCCGACGCTCTATCCACTGAGCCAAACCGGTGCTGGCTAGGTCCTGCAACATTTCTAAATGAGCTTGATTGGAGCACGGTCACCTGGTCCCTCACTTATTGCCTGTAGCTGCTTTTACATGGAAAGTGCACAGGAATGTAAAACTATGACTTTTAAAACCAAAACTCTTCTGTACCTGGGCCTGGAACAAAAATTGGCCGGCCCCTCCCTCAGATAAATATGTACACGGTACCCTGCTGTTCACATCCCATTTGGTCCTTGCATGGTAGTAAGAAGCAAGTGTTCAGATAGCAAGAGACTTAAACATTTATGGTTTCTGTAGCAAGAAATCGCCTAGCAGGGGATACACTCACAAAGGCACAAATAAGGTGTCATTGAACCTGCTTTTAGCCAATTAGCTAGGAGCTCCATATTCTTTCCTGTTAGAGAAAAAGCAGCCTTTGTCTTGTTCCAAGCAAGCCTTATTTTGCATCTGGAAAGAGCTACCCTGTAGCTTGCCAAGTTCTGTTTTTCCTCCGCATTCCCATAGGCAGCACTCGCACATGTGTGTCCAGTGCCAGCGGCCTGTGCTGGGCAGGCCGTTTGGGGCTCCAGTTGTTTTCCTTCTTGAGACAGGACCCTTGAGAGCCACACGCACAATTCAAAGAATATGAAATGCTTTGTTTTGCTTACTGTCATTAAAGTGGTTCTTTTCTGGCCTCATCATAAAGATGGTTCTCAGTAGACATGACTATCATTATTGGCCTCCACTCTGTTGAGGCCCTTTTTCACCCGGTGTCTCAGCTTCTGCAGCTGCTTATGGCACATTGTGATTTGTGTAGACGTTTCATTTTTTAAATATATTTTTATTGACTTTAGAGAGGAAGGGAGAGGGGAGAAGGAAAGAGAGGGAGAATCATTGGTTGGCTACCTCTTGTACACCCCACACTGGGCATCCAGCCCACAACCCGGGCATGTGCCCTGACCAGAAATCAAACCATAGCCTCCTGGTTCATAGGTCAGTGCTCAACCACGAGCCACGCCAGCCGGGTTGCGTGGACATTTTAAATGGCACTAGATCTTGTTCTATATTCCAAGGCAAGTAGAGTTTATTTGGAAAGTGAAGTTGAAAGGCTTTATTTCGCAAGCTGTGGTGGACATACAATCAGCTCTCAGTAATCCATAAACCACTCGGCCTTGTCTCCTGAGCCACATGCTTATGAGCCCCTTTCCCATTCTCAGCTGTTTGTGCATGTATGAAACTGTGAGTAATAATAATTGTTTTTTAACAAAAATACAAGTTAAAGGGTGTGGAAATACCAGGAAGGTTGTTTGCACAGCAGATGGCGTGGGATTCTCCCACCTTCCTCTGTGGTACGTGGTCAGAGGAGCAGACCTCACGTCGTGCACAGCCTGAGCTGGCCAGCCCACCTCTCCCCAAGAGTTTGGAAGGAGAACTGAGAGCAAGATTACTCTAGAGCAAGCATGGGAAACTCAAAGGCTAACACGGGCCAAATAGACGAGGTTTAAGTTTATGTGGCTGCAAAATAAAACAAAAGCTTCAGTTTCCATAGAAACGTAGGTTTATTTCGATAGAGACATGCTGAACACAAAGAGCTGAAATAAATGAATCATCGTTAACATAAAATAATAGAACATTTTAGTACTGACTGGTTTGGCTCAGTGGATAGATTCTGGTCAAACCTGGTTGAGGGCAGAGAAACCAAGATGGCAGCATAGGGTAGACACCCGAATGCAGCCTACCAAAACAAATTTGAATTTAGAACTGGAAAACAGGGGAAACATCACCCTGAACCTCCAGACGGCTGGCTGAGGGGAGGCTCTACCATCTGGGAAGGAGAGAGAAGGCACACTGAACCTCAG